TTTTAAACGCGTCTTTGGTTCTGATCTGTATTAATAAGAACATTTTCTGTTTTGAACAGAAGGTGGTGAGCAATGGCGCTTTCGGGAACGTGGCTGTGTCCATTAGGAGCAGAAGCAGGTTAATAGGTCAAAAGCCTGAACAGAACAAAAGTTCTAAATGATATCAGGTGGATCCCAGTACTGACAGGGTTTGCTCACAATGGCTTGGTCCTGAAGCCCCCTCATTTCCTGCTCCTCTGTCATCCGTTCCTTTGAGCTACTGCATTGCTGCCATATGCCCGGGCAGACCAGAATTTGAACACCGGGCCTCTGTCTCCTGGCTTGTGATCTCTGCCACGCTACCTGAACATTCCAAGCCTTCGTTTTCTTGCTTATACGATGGGATAGAGCTCAGTACTCCAGCCTTACAGGCATTTCTAGGGCTGTAGCAAGATAATGACTACGAGGCATGCATGGACCATGCAGCTCAGGACCCATAAATGGAAGATTCTACTGAGATCCTTTCCTCTAGAAACAGATACAGAGTTGTCTATTCCAGAAGACGCCCAGAGTGAGTGTGGCTGGAGAAGTTCAAGGTGGTGCTGGTGAAGGCAGTGTGGTGGGCATTCAGGGATAGTGAGCAGCTGGGTCACAGATCAGTGTCTCAGATTAGGAAGTATTTGGGGATCTTTGACTATAGGCCTTGATGTAGCCATGTCTGTCCTCACTATGAACCCACCTGCCTGAGCATGTGCTAAATCAGGGCTGACTAAGCACAGGGACCCTGGGACGGGGTCCCTGGGACGGCCTCATGGGCATCCTCTGTGTGTTGCACCCTGCATCTTAGAGTCATCGAGCTACAGAGAGACACGTCTTTTAACCCCCATTCAGGTGGCAGGCACAGTGATTAGGTGTGGGGGCTCAGGAGTAGGCTGCCGTCAGTTGGAATTTTCTCTCCCTGCTTCAGGATTGTGAATTTGAGCAAGCCTGTTTTCCTCTGTACAGTGGGTTTGAGGATGGACAGGATGATGCCTAAGTGAGATTCTGCGTTCAAGCATGCAGCACCGAGCTCGTCCTGGAGTACAACATGGCACGGTGCGATACGCAGCTCATGATGGGCTGGGCCTGCAGCAGAGGCGGGAAGAGGGAAATGAAGCCTCGAATGTTGGCACCAGGACCTGCAGGCTTGAGCCTTTGTGCTCTGAAGAATGCTGGGAGGCCTCACCCAGTGTTTGCAGACATTTTCTGGGCAAATCTCTTTTGGAGAAGTCCATGGCCATCTGTGTGCAATGACACGAGTGTCCCCCTAGCCTGGAGGGCCTGAGCGTGTGTCATCTGCTCTGACCCAAGGAGTTTTTTCCTCTCCCTGGGGCAGGGTGGAAGGAGTGGTGGGGGAGGTATTTGAGAGGCTCCTGAGGAGAAAGAAGACAGCAGTAGTTCCAAGAGAGCCCCGCCCTGCCGTTCTGGTTGGCCATGAGGCCACTGTAGTCAGACAGGTCCTTTCTCATTTTCAAGAGAAGTGACCTGACCACTGTGCTCAGTTAAGCCCATCTCCCAGGGCCCTCTCCTGACTGTCAGTCTGCCTTGTGATCCAGCTCCAGCCCTCAGCCTTGCCAGGCTGGAGCCTGTCACTCAGGGTATCTTTGGTCTGACTCCAGGTGAACACAGTGAGGAGCTGCTTTAAGGGTAGACAGGCAAATGTTCTGGCCTCTGCACGGGGAGGTGTGGAGTGTGCCCAGTTTCCCTGTTGCATTTGCTTTGGTGGGCAGTGCCTGGCACCACACCTTCCCCCAGCCTATGCGCTCTGGCTCTGTCCGTACTCTGAAAACATTCGTGGTGGGGTGGGGCTGGATGTCAAGGTCTGCTGCAGTGGCCCACAGGGCTACCAGACATCCTAAGGAGGCTTTGTCCAAAAGGGTTGGGTGGAGAAGAGACAGCATGGTGGGAAGGGGTCTCTTTGGCAGGGCTTGCTGTAGGCACAGCCACAGGGCCTTGCCATCCTAGGGGAGGCACCTGGGAACTGAGCCCTTGGGATCTCTAACAGCCCCAGATCCTGGCTTGGGGCAGGTCTAAGGAGGAGGCTGCTGCAAACTCTTGGAGCTATTGGTCCCTGCAGGTGGCATTTCCAAAGCACTTGGGCCGCATGCCTTCCTAGCTCCTGTAAGGCCCACAACCCCACCACATGGGCACGAAGGGCCACCTTAGGTATTTCCTTCTGGGTGGCCCCAACACCCCTGAATGGAGTTTCTGCAAAGTGACTGCTTCTGTTTTCAAGTCTTATTTCTTCTCTAGCAACAGTGCTTTGTAAATAAAGCCTGGACTTCTCAGCAGAAGATTTCAACAACACAGAAAAGAGGCTTAGGGAATAAGGAATTTGTAAATCTTACATGCTGGAAATAGGCCAGGAGGTTGGTGATGCCCAAAGAAACTCGAGATTTGCCCAAGAACACCAGAACCCTCTCTCTAGCGTCCCTTTCACTCCCAGCACTTTAGAAAGCCCCAGCAAGATTATTTGAAAGCCTGGCCATTAGAAGGCAGCCCAGGCCTATTTTTAGCCTGGATCTTACATCAAAACCCAAGAGGGAGGGCCTTCTCCGCATTCGCAGCAGCCTGTGTGCAGAGAGGGGTTGTGGCTGAGAGAAGCAGTATGTGTGTGTGGTGCGTGCGCCTGGCGTGTGAGAGGGCTACAGACCCTCTGTTGGCAGAGATAAACCAGACTCCAACTGTCTGAGGCTCACACATCAGAAGGATAGACACACACATCTTAAAACAGCTTCCAGCAGGTGGCAGCTCTCAGCTCTAGGTGGGGTACAGCTAGGGTACAGTCACTGTGGGGCCTGGCAATTCAAAGGAGTGCACTTTCCATGTCTGGGAACCAGGGCTTGGAGGGACAGGGCAGATTCAGATCAGCCGTGGTAGAGCAGGATCCTCACCCCCGACTTGGAAACATACTAGGGCCACCTCCGCCTCCCAGGATGGGCTGTCGGAGGCCTTGGTGGTCGTCTCTTACATGCACATGACTTCATAGTTCTGCAAGAGGCTGGAGCTGGCTCCTCTGTCAGCTCATCTACTTGGGTCTAAGCAGAGCAATCCCAGACCCCTTCCTTTTGCTTGCTGGTTTGGGTTTCCTACCCAGGGATGCTGGTGGAGTTTCAACCAGAGTCCTGGCCCTTGTGGAAGTTCAGGGACCAGTGCTCCAGGTCGGCTGTCCCCCTGCCCTCTAGTGGGACCTTGGGCAAGGTCACACCTCTATGTGAGCTCAGGTGCTCCATCTTGGAATAGGAGGGTGGGGCTAGACCAGGTCCCACAGCCCTTCTGCTCTAACTTGCAGCCTGGATGCCGAATGAGCTGATTGGCCAGCTCATGGTGCACTGGCCCAGTGCCCTGAGCATGACCCAGAGCCCGACTGAGTTGTGGAGTATGGTGAACCCTAACTCTGGGGGCTTCTGCGAGTGGTTTCCATCTTTAGTTCCACTCCGCTGTGCTCTGTTCCTGCATCCTCAATCTGTCAAAGCACCCAGCTAGCTGGTCCAGGATCTCGACCACACTGATCAGAAAGCATAGTCCTGGGGACCAGATGGCTACCTCAAGGTCACACTCTGGGCAAGTGACAAGGCTGGAGCTGGAACCAGCCCTGCTTGAGTCCATTTAGTAAGATATGTAAGTAAGCTTTCGTCCAGCCACAAAGAAGGTCTTCCACGGGCAGCAGAGTCTCTTTCCTGTTGCTGAGGCTCAGTGGGGATCAGAACTGAGGGGTTCAGAATGCTGCCTGCTCACTTCCCCAACACAGATTCTGGTCCTTCAGGGGCATGGGGCCAAGGGTCAGGTCTTTGTTGGGGGCAGTGAAGAGGATGGACAGGGTCGTAGTCATCAGTTCTGCTCTAACCATCTCTCTTCCTGGCCAGTTGAGCAGCCCTGTGATTCAGCTGGGTGAGAGAGAGGAACCCAGCCTAGGGGACGCTCTGTGAATGGGGGTGGGGTGAGCCAAGAGAAACCTGCAATCCCTGGGTGAGCTAAACCCCGCCTACGCCCCCCGGGCAGGGCTGCTTCCTGCCTGGGGGTTCTCTCTCTGTGAGCTCAAGTTGTGGCTTGAACAAAACAGGGTGGGCTTGGCTGACCATTTTCATAACTATCAGGTGAGGCATTGGGTTCTCACACTTGCCCAGCCCTTCCCAGGGAGCAATAACATAGTTAAGTGTAAGGAACAGAGTGTACAGAGAGTCTCTTTGGCCTCGAGAGATAAGGCACAGAGTCTGAGGCATAGCGTCTCAGTCTCGTCTCCCGTCCCCCTGTCTAAATCACGGCCCAGGGACACATCCTAGAAAAGAACCCCCTGATTAGAAAGTAGCTGGCCCTCAAACAAAACTGCCGAGGTCTCCACACACTGCCGCATGTCGTAGTCCCCTCTGCCACCTGCTACCTGCTGCAGTGTTGCCAGGATGTATCAAACATTAGGAAGCTGAGGGGAAGCTTAGGCTCTTCTGTGAACCAATGTACATTCTTCAGAAAAACGAACTTTTGGAACCCTTCCTTCCTTCCTACCCCCCCACCCCCCATTTTCCTGACAAAGCTCACCCCTCCGGAGGTCATTCTTTGGTAGCATATTCTGAGTGACTGAGGTCTGTGTTCACCAGGGCAGCTGTGTATACCCCTGGCTCAGATGAACTCTTTTTGCATTTTGCCTCAGCTTCCTTTTCAGGCTCTCAACATCTTCCTCTTCAGTTCCTGCCTCCACCTCAAAACAGCCCTCGGATCAGGCAGACCCTCTGGACTCATTTTGCAAATGAGAATCTTGAGGGTTCCCAAGGTCACAGGGAGGGCGGAGATTCAGCACCAGGCCCTCTGGCTCTGGGGCTGAGGCTCACAGCCCCACACCTGCCACAGCTCTGCACAGCAATGTTTGGGGTGGTTTGGGGAAAGAAATGGAACGACAGAGTGGCCAGATGCTCCCAACCCTCGGGCAGCCCCATCGACCATGCCAGCCAGTGTGCAGAGGATGGCAGCAGGAGGCGGAGTCTTACCTGCAGCTGTGGTGATACCCAGGAGCCGGCAGGTGTATTCCAGCCCAGTCCAGAACACCTGGAGCTTCATGGTGCAAGGGTGAGGGCAGCGTCTCCGCAGGGTAGGTAGCAGAGGCTCCAGCCCTCAGATGTTCCCAGTGCCGTGGGCAGGCAGGAGGCTGTGGCTGCCGGCTCAGGGCCCCTGCGCCCCAGGTCCCTGCCTTCTCAAACCGGTCCTGGCCACCGCAGCCTGGCAGAGGTGTGAATAGGGCTCACCTTCCTGGCGTGGCTCCTGTGCCCTTGCCAGGTGCTCGGCTTAATCATTACCTCGGAAAAATGCTCTTGCTGCTCTGCGCGGCCCAGCCTGGCCAGGAGCTTCCTCGGCCCAGCTCTACCGATTAGGACTGGGCTGGAGGCAGCCTGGAGCTGGCAATTAACTGTTTCTGGCTGGGAGGAGGGAGCCGAGGAGAGGGCCAGGGCCCCTCCTTACTGAGCAGAGCAGAGAAAGTCACACCTGGACCTCACACCTGCTGAGGGTCTGGAGAGCTGGTCCCTAGAGGGCACAGTGCACAAATCGATTTGTTTGTGTGAGAGAGGGATGTGTCTTTAAATCTCCAGGAGAAACAACATTTGAAATGAGTTCTGAGCCACATTCTTTTGCATATAGGTGGATTAGAAAGCTTTTCTCGACTGGCAGATTTGGACTCTGACCAAGACACACTTAGCTCAGGCCCATGGCACACAGAGGACCAGCATCCCCGACATGGCACATGGGAACTAATAGGAGTCTTTGGGAGGTGAGTTGCTGTGTCAATAATTAACTGGGTGACCTTGAGGAAGCCCAAAGGTATCCATGCGCCTTCATAACCCTTGCAGAAAATGAATGACAGGTTTTGGCTGGATCGGTGGTTCTCAAAGTAGGAGTGTCCCCAGTGCTGTGCCAAGGAGCTCAGCCTGTAACACTGGACGGTGGTGGACTTCCACTGATTCTTAACTCACTGATTGATGTAATGGTTTGAATGAAATAAGGCAGTTTTTCTCTCTGGTCTTTTTTCTGAAATCTTTCACCCCTTTGCTCCTGTGGGAGAGACAAGAAAACAACCAAATGAAAAAGGGAAAAAAATCAACCAACCAGCCCTAGTAGTAATGGAAAACACAAGCGTGGCCAGTGTTGCTTTTTTTCTTGTTGAGGATGATGCATCGTCATCGAACAAATAGGTGGATTTTATTAAAATTATTTTAATTTGACTGATTAATTGACTCAGTGGCATTCTATCACCACTATCATTTCTTGTTCGCATTTTTGTCCTTTGAATGAGCTTAGGAGCCTCTGTGCTCCTGTGAAATCCAAGCCCAAACTTAAAGCTGCATGACTCAGCGTATTTATTTCTCAGGTTAGCTGACTATTTCTTAGCAGACTGTGTTCATCTATTGGCAGCCCGTCAACTCCAGGCATCCCAACGATGACACGCCTTGACGTCTGTGCACCCCTGCCCTAGATGCTGGGGTTCAGTTCTCCCAGCAAACACTGAATTGCATATATGGAGGCTGGAGGTGGGCGTCATGTGCCCTGCTCTCTGTGCCCTCCGGTGGGCCTTTCCCTCTGAGAGGTGGGGAGGCTCTGGCCAACCTCACTGTAAGCACTTGCTTCTCCCTGGCCAGCAGCAGCTGATGGTGCATTGTGTCCGACACTTGCATGCTCAGAAGACAAGGGCTTCTTCCAGGTCTTGACTGAAGGGTCTGTTCAGTCCACTGGCCAGGACTGTGGCCTCCTCTTCCCAGTAACTGGCTTAGGAATGGGCATATGACCAAATATCGGTTGAATAGCCCAGAAGGGCCGTGAGCTGATGAGCTTCTGAAACAGGGTGTGGGAACATGGTGCAGTCCCTCGTTTTGGATATGCCTGGTGAGGATGGCGGTTGTCTTGTCGGACGGGGTGAGACAAAGAGCACACCTAGCACATGGGGGCACCCATGAGAGGAGGAGCACCATCAGGCACCGCGCGATGGCCTGAGGCTGCTAAATTACCTGCTCCTTATTGTCCGGCGTTGGAGGCAGGTTTCCAGTCACAGCTGTAAGCGCATGCCTGGTGCAGTGGTTGTCTCTGAACAGAGCTCTCTCCCAGCCTTTTCCTTGGGAGGTTTTCCGGTGCACTGGGCTCAGGCTGGGGGAGACTGAGCACTGTGAGGCTGAGGGGAGGGTGTGCTTCACTGGGGCTGCCCCCCGGGAGGAATGGATGGAGAGCAGGGCTGTTGCAAAACCCAAATGGGGAGGAACCCAGAGAGGGCAGCTCTTGAAGAAACCACAAATTTGATTCTGGCAGAGGCTGTGCCTCCTCTACCCCATTAAAGCCATTTGTGGAGCCTCCCAGGGAAGGGAGAGTCTGGCTGGGCAGACAAGTTCCTTAGGGCTCTCAGAGTTCAGAGAAGAAAGTGCTGGAAACCAGGGCAAGACCCTAAAATAGAACTAGGATAAGAAGAGAGTGAGGCCCAGACGTCCATGTCTGACCTGAGACACTAATGGGCCCAGCAAGAAAGGAGGGCATTTCCCAGAAAAAAGCTCAGGTTTGACCCAGGGAGCTCTGTCTCCGCAGGCGTGTGAGAGATGGCAGGGGCTGGGGAAGGGCAGAGAACCTGACTGGCTGGGAAGGTGGCAGGAGCCTGCGTAGAGGGCCGGGAGTCCTCTGAGTGACAGAAAAGGAGGTTCGGGCCTCAGCAGTGCATGAAACAGAGTGTGAGGGGACTTGCAGCTCCAGACAAAGGTGTGACACGGACACTGGGTCAGGAAAGCCCAAGTTCCACTTTGATTGATCCCCAAGGAGTCCAAACCTGTGTGGGGTGGAAGTTATGGCGAAGCTTTTGGTTTGAACTGGGGGAAGATGTTCTAGCGATTGGCCCCCAGTGACGGGATGGCTAAGATGGAGAGTAAGAACCTCCCCGCACCCACCTGCACGAATGCTGGGCAGGAGAGGACACTGGGAGTGATTTTCGAGCTCTGATCGCGCCATTCCGACCAGGAGACTCTGATTCTGGAAGAAGTTATCTACAGTCCCACGAGAACGCAGACAAATACTCCAGGAAATATATCTAGAAGACGATTTATTTTTCTACATCCCTGGAATACGAAGAAAGAGACCTAGGGCTTTCTAAGTGTAAGGTTTGTATTTACTTATTTTTTTAGAGAGATTTTTGCTGTCAGGCATGTGCATACGCTGGAGAGACAGAATGCAAGAAATCATCCTCTGTGGGGATGGCCACATTGCAATCCCTTCTACATTCTCCTGTCGGGATTTTGGGCACATACGCACAAGTGCTTGGTGTGAGTTTCGAGCTGCCGGGTCCAGGACTCAAACTGTGGTCAAGCCATATGGGAGTCCAGTGATGTAACCATTATGCCACCTGCTGATCCTGAAGTCTGGGGCTTTCTAACCAGAGACGTGGTTCCTTTCTGCTCCCTGCCCATGGCCCTTGGATGCCCATCCAGAGAAGAGATGTGGGGAAGAGAGGGGAGGGCAAACGTGCAAAGCTCAGCGCTGCACCGTGTGGCCTGGGGCATTCCTCACTCCCTCTCAGGCCTGATTTCCTTATCTGTAAGTGATCTGGAAGATGTCTTACAGGTCAGCTGGGCTGCATCAAAAGCACCTATCCAGAACGGATGCCAGGAAGTAGGGGCCCTCTTAGTCTGCTGTCGTGTTGCTAACTGAAATACCCGACAGTGGGTGAGTTACACAGAAATGGAAGTTTATTAAGCTCACGATAGGGAGGTCTGAGGTCCAGGAGCCACATCACATGGCAGAGGCAGGACTCGGAGCGGAGCGCTGGCTGTGAGCTTCTGCCCGCTCTGGTCTCCCTTCCTCTCTTATTAACACATCGGAACTCAGTCATAGAGGTCTTACCCTAATGACTTTATCGCACCCAAAGATCCAACCCCAGGATACCATAAAGGCATTAAATTTTCACTTAACAACTTTATAATAGAACCAAGTTCCAACACATGCATTTAGAATGACACCCCAACTCTAGCAGGAGGTAGTATTATAAAAGAGCAGAGAAAACTGCCCTCCCTGTAGCCAGTCCTGGGTAGGTTTTGCTACCATAGGAGTCCTTAGACCGACACCTGAGTCCGGGATGTAGCGCAGCCCTCCACCCCATGGAGAACCAGGGTGAAAATAATGGCTGCTCTTTGGAATGAAGAGGCTCATCTGGAGCTTTATTGAGCTTGGTGTTTCATTTCACCGCCCGTGTGCTGGAGCAATAGGAAGGTGGGTTGAATCAATAAACCTGCAACAATCCACGCCACTTGGCAATAAAAAGTCCTGCCTCTGGGGCTTGTGAAACCTAGGGAGGATGTCAGCGACTACTCTGATAGCTGGTGTTTGCGCAACGCCATTACAGGTACTGAGCTAGCACTACAGATACAATCCTGTCCTCCTTATTCTCGTTTTACAGATGAGGAAGCAGAGTCATGTGAGGTTAAGAACATACAAAAAAGAAACGAGAAGAGGAAGAGGCCAGCCATGTGCCTAGTTCGGGCTCTCTGCTGCTAGTTCTGGATTTATAGGTGCCTCAGGTGTGAAGCTGCCCAGGAGAGGAGACCAGCCCAGCGATCCTGGGGGGAGACAATGGGAAGGACTTTGGGAGGAAGCCGGCTTTGATGTCCTCATTGCTCTACTCCGAGGGTTGGTGGTGGATCCAGTGGTGCTCCCACCCTCCTCTCCTGAGGTGGTCCCCGAGAATGACCGTTCCCAGCAGTTAGGCCGCGGCTCACCCCCAGCCTTGCCTAGCACTTACGTTTGTTACTAAAAATGGATGCATTGCAGACATCCCTGGCCTTATAGGGGGAACATAAATTATGCACCATTGATAGGAGCACAAAAATTCCAGATGCTCGGATGGCTCTGGGGAGCTCGAGAAGTCAGGAAAAGATGAAATGTGGGTATGTGCTAATCTTCAGCTGCTGGGGGGTGAGGAGGTGTCTGCAAAATGGTAGGAAGGTCGTGGGCATAACTCAAAGTAAGGGCCTATCCCTGGAGACAACCCCCTAGAGCCGCCGTAAGCCTTTGCCCGCCTTAGACTCAGCCCTCCTCGCCTGTCCGTTCCTCCATAGGAGAGAGAGGTTAATCTTCCTGAGGTGGGCTTTCGATCACTGTTCTCGTAGGCCCTCGGGAACCTTGGTCCATCAGCCATAGCCTCTGTCCACGCCTCTCACCTTGGCTTGTCACTTCTCCCTTCCGTCCTCTACAGGTAAAATCAAAGTTTTCGTACCCAGCCTAGCTTTGCCCTGCACACCACACACGGTCTCCACTCCCTTCGTCACCAAGGCTTGGGGAAGTGGTCTTCATTCACCACTCC